TGATTAAAGGTTCCATTTGAAATAATCTGTTTCAAGAGTCTTTACTTTCTTAAGTTAGGAGAGGAGCCATTACAATCACAGTCCAGATCACTGTATTCCCCCTGATCTTTGGCAATTCAATTATAAAATCCATTGCAGTATCCCCCCCCCCCACAGTCTTATTGGCTCTGCCACCTGTTAGACCAGTCCAGGGGCGTCTCCTTTTTATGGTGGCAGCTTTTTAAATAGCCATCCACATCTTTCTTCATGCAGGGCCACCAGAATTGTCTCCTCACCAGGTGTAAAGTTTTTAGGAACCCAAAGTGGCCTGCCAATTTGACATCATGGCTTCTGTGGAGGATTGAGGTGTGTAGGGACTTGGGAATGTAGAGTTTTGCCCCCTTCCATGCTAAGTCCTCCCTTTTTGTCAGGATGTGCTGGTTGTCACGGATCCAGGGGTTTGTTTCCAGTTTGGTTTTAAACTTTACATTAAATCACTTGTGAGTGGGTCTTGCCAATCACATCATTTTGATGGTGGTCACTTGGACTGTGGTTTGAGGAAGTGGAATGATAGTGTTACTACCTTCCCCCACTCGCATTTGTATTGAGGCATGAGGGAGAGGATGTTAGCTAGAAAATTCCTTCCCCCGAGTTATCAGGTTGTGTTTTAGCATGAAGTTGAATCAGTTGAAGTCGGAGCAGAGGCTCTGACCAACCCCAAATTGACTCTGGGAGCTGGACCAGGACTAGGGCAGGCAGCAGGAACTTCAGCAGCAGCAGCAGCAGCAGCAGCAGCAGCAGCAGCAGCAGCAGCAGCAGCAGCAACCCATGCTCCCCCAAGGGAAGGCAGCCCCGCAAAGGCACTGAATTCGAAAGATTCCTCCTCTAGGAGTGAAATATGGAGGGGATCCCAAAGTGCTGGGATTTTTCTTAGCTCAAGTCTGAAACTACATGCAGGAATATGGGGTAGATTTTGTATGAGAAGCTGCAAAAGTGAGATGTATTACCATGGCATTGGAGGATGCCGCAGTTGAGTGGATAGTGACCCTTCACAGTGATGGTTCCCCACAGCTGAGGGATTATGATGGATTTATGATGTCCCTGATGGCACACTTTGAAGACCCCCTTGCTGACTGGAAGCCAAGAACCAGGATGAAATCCTTAATACAGGGTCGGAGATCAGTGGCAGAATGTGTCAAGAGTTTCGTGAGCTGCCTGTACACACGCGGCTATGGTCCCAGGAAGTGCTGATGGACAGTTACAATGACGTGTACCAGAACTGTGTTAACCAAGGGGCTCCCCAAGACCTTCAGCTCTGGTATGTGCTGGCTGCGAATGTGGAAATTGACCTGGCCAGAAATTGATGCCGTGGGGCAACTGTTGGAGCAAAAACCCACCCCCTGTTTTGAGGGAAGCCCCTTGAGCACCAAAAGGGGGGGCAGTGACCAATTGCAGGTCAACAGCATGTCTCAGATGTGAGAAGGGGGGCATTGGGCTACTAATTGCTACTCTAAGCCTGGCCATAAACTGACCTTGGCTGGAGGGAAAAAGGCTGAGAAGCAGTCAGTGAAACATCGTGAAACAGCCCTGAAAGATGAAGTCATTGATTTCCCTCACCCAGGTTCGGAGGAGATGGGAATCCAGCCATTTCAGGGGAAAGCAAAACTGACTCTGATGACAATCTCCTGGTAAGTCCTCATGTGGACCCCATGACCATCCCAGTAGAACTAAGGGTACCCTCAACTGGCACCCAGAGAAAGATGCTGGCCCTTTTAGACTCTGGTTGCATCAGGTGTGTTAATAGCCAGAGAGGGTGGAAAAATGGGACTAAGACTGAAAACAATGAAAGTACCCATTGCCTTTTGCCAGCTGGATGGGTCATGCTGGAGGGCCCTACAGCCCATTTTGTGACCAAACCAGTAGAGATGTGGATGGGGGACCATCGAGAGTCTTTAAGCTTCATCATCACCCCTGGGATGGAATGGCCCCTCATACTTGGATTACCATGGCTGTGGAAGTGGAACCCACAGGTGAATTGGAAGAAGGGACTGCTATGCATCCATTCCACCCACCTGGGAAAGTGGGTAGGGAAAACCTCCTGCATAGCCAGAGCCACAAAGGAACTGGCAGCATTCACACGTGAGACAATTGAGGGGGAGGAGAAAATCCCCAAGGAATATTGGGACCTCAGGCAGTTATTCAGTGAAAGGACATTCCGATGAGCTCCCACCCTATTGCCCTACTGAATGTAGCATAGAAATCCTCCTCGGGGTGAAAGTTCCTAAGCCACAGATTTACTTGGCGAATCTGTGCGAATTGGAAGAGTTATGTAACTTCATTGATTAAAAACCTAAAGAGGGGGTTCATCCAGCCAGCTAGGCTATGGGTACCTGCACTGGTGTTATTTTGAGAAAAGAAAGATGTCGCTCTTCGCTTATGTGTGAACTATAAGAACCTTAACACCATTTGTGTGAAAAATGTCTACCCCTTACCACTCAGGAAGGACATGTTAGCTCATCTGGCCAATGGGAAATTTTTCACTGTTGGATTTAAGGGAAGCATATTACAGAGTCCAAATAAAAGCAGGGGATGAGTGGAAGACCACCTTCAACTGCCCTCTGGGTTGCTTCCAGTTTAGAGTACTCCCATTCATACTTCAGGGGGCACCAGCAGTTTTCATGCAGCTGATAAATGAAGTACTGCATGAACATCTGTATAAGGGGGTGTTAGTTTATCTTGACGACATCCTCATCTACATGGAAACCTTAGAGGAACATGTGAGACTCGTGTGCTCATGTGCTCGTGTCCCGAAAAAACTCAGGGCTGCTGAACTTTATGCCAAATTTTCTGAGTGTGAATTCCACCAGGAAAAAAATGACTATTTGAGATACCACATTTCTCATATGGGTATTGAAATGGACCCAGAGAACATCCAGGCTGTCATAGAATGGGCACCCCCTACACCTGCAAACAGCTACAAAGGTTTGGGGGAGGGTTGCCAATTTTTACCGCCAGTTCATCCCTTCATTTGCTAGTTTTGTTTTGCCAATTACAAATCTCCTAAAGTCAAATGGGGAAACAAAGCCAAAACCTAGTTGGCCCCTGAAGTGGACAATGGAATGCCAACTGGCATTTGAGAAATTAAAACAATTGTTTGCATCTGAATCTGTTTTAAAACACCTCGACCTTGATGCACCTTTTATGGTACAAGCTGATGCAAGTGATGTGGCTGTAAGGGCGGTATTACTTCAAACTAATGCTGATGGAAACCTACAACTTTGTGCTTACACCTCCTGGAAGTAGACTGAGACAGAAAGGAGATGGGCAATTTGGGAAAAAGAAGCTTTTGCAGTCTGGTGGACCCTGCTGACCTGGCGGCATTTCCTCAAAGGAGCCAAGCACCCGTTTGAAGTGTGGAATGATCATAAGAACCTCGAGGCATTAAAAACCCCATGGAAACTGTTGCCCAAACAAGTTCGCTGGGCATAACACTTTAATAGGTTCAATTTTACTCTGAGATACCTCCCAGGAAGAAAGAATTTTATGGCAGATGTCTTATCCAGATTGCCCTAGTATAACAATGCCAGGCCGGAGGTGATTCATCCAGTCATTCCTTCCAAGCAGCTAATGGCTCCAGTAGTCACCAGGAGCCAAGGAAAAGCTGAACAAGACATACTCACAGAGCTAACAAAATGTCTGAGGGAGACACTAGCATCTGATGACTGGTTCAAGTCCCACTCAAATGAATGCACCATGCAGGATGGCCTTGCATGGGTGGGGGGGGCAGGTTGTATGTGCCTGCTAGTCTAAAAAGTGTTGTCCTCCAACAAGCCCATGATTCAAGAGCAGCTGGACATTTTGGAATTGTGAAGACCTTACATTTGCTTAAAAGACAGTTTTGGTGGCCTTCTCTGAAAAAAAAGACACAGAATCCTACATTGCTAGTTGTCCTGTTTGTGCTGCAGCAAAGAGACCACCAGGAAAACTGCTAGACTACTCCAAAGTGTTGCCAGACCTGGTGTCCCTTGGAAGGAGATATCCATGGATTTCATTGTTAAGCTACCAGAAAGTAATAGCAACACTGTCATTTGGATGGTCATGGATTTGTTCTCCAAGCAAGTGCATTTTGTGCCCTGTTCCAAGATCCCGTCAGCAAACATACTGGCTAAACTCCTCTGAGTCTGGAACTGTCTTGGAGGAACATTGAGGAAAGAGAACATGGGCAGATGTGAAGGGGGTGCCCCAAACCCTCTGGGATGTCTGCAACAGCCCTCAACCTAAGTGGCTAGGAGGGCAGCCATTATGAGCTGTCAGAGTGGAGGCAGCCTCATAAAAAGAGAGAAGAAAGCAGCTTGGGATGTCTGGGTGAGATCTTGCTAATACCTTGGGGCACACTGTATTCAAAAGTTTGTTTGGATTACCTCAATACAAACACCAATACAAATAAATGATTCATAATAATAGTTTTGAGAGGATGGTTTGGAGAAATGGAGAGCAGTCTGGACAGAGTTGACTGCTAGTGAAATTTTTAAATTTTGATATTGATATTGAAAAATTGAAACTCTGAGATTCCTCTTGAAATCTCTTTTTCTTTTTTCCTAACTACTCTTTTCAGTAACAACAGTGCCATCTAATGGCAACAGAAAGAACAATGCATGTGGTGATAAAAACTGCCACATAAGACAAAACAACAGCTGTGGATTCATCTTTGCTGCTTTTGTTTTCTACTTTTCTGATTATAACTTTGGAGTGCTGGAATTGTTTTGGAACTGTTTGGAACTGTGGAACTTTTGCTTATATTAAGAATGGAAGTCATTTTCTTTAGGTGGATCTGTACCTGGTTCCCTTTTTTTAAATCAATGTCTTTTTTATTTTACCCGTAACTTTCTACTTAGTGGGTACTTACTGGGTTTTTTCTTTTTCTTTTTACTCTCTCCTTTTCTCTCCTATGGCTAGAGTTGAAGGGAATAAGGGGGATTAAAGATATATATATTTATTTTACAACTGTGGTCAATTCTTTACTATTTTTCTCTCTCTGCTCTCTCTGTTGGAATTTGGGTTTTTTTTTAAAAATTGTTTTGTTTTTGTCTTTCTAACCTCCACTGCAATTGGATTAGGGTAACAAGAACCTGTAGTTTGGAGGAAGTAATGGAGACTAAGGAAACATTTTTATTTTACAATTGTGGTCAACCTTTTACTATTTTTTCTCTTTCCCCTTTTTGTTGGAATTTGGTCCATTTCTTTCTTTCTTTCTTTCTTTCTTTTTATTTTACTACTACAATTGGATCAAGGTAACAAGAACCTGAAATTTTGACCACCAGACTTGGAGAGGCGACTTGTAAAACTTGGATTTTTTCTTTTCTTCTCTTTTCCTTTTTTTATATTTGGATTATAAAAAATAAATCAACAAGATGAAGAAGATAACAGCATATTCCTCATCGACAGCAACAACCTCCAGTCCTACAGCACAAAACCCATCAAATACAATAACACAACATGATAAAGCTACTATGGAGTTAAAGAGCATGCTACAGGCTCTGCATGAAGACCTCAAAGAAAGAATGGACAAAGTGGATGAAGACCTGAAAGAGGTTAAAGAGATAATGGGGAAAAATGAGCAGAGACTGCAGAAAGTGGAAGAAAAGGTGGAAATAACAGAGAAGAAAATGGAGGAGATGGATTATAGATAACAGCAGATTAAAAAACAAGAAAATGAATATTCTATGGAAAATAGACAAGGCAGATTTTCATTTAAGATTCCAAAATATCAAAGAGGAAAAGGAAGAGAATCTAGCAGGAAAAAATCACTGACATATTAGTGGACAGACTGGAAGAATCCAAGGAAAAGATGTTAAGTGGGATTGATGAAATTTACAGAGTCTATACAAGATATGCCATAAGAAATAAATTACCCAGAGAGGTACATGTAAGATTTACTAAGAAAACACTGAGAACAGAGATCCTGCAAGCTGCAAGGAACACCACAATAAAATACAAATCTAAAGAAATAATAGTCATCAAACAAGTGCCAAGAAAGGTGAGAGATCTAAGAAGAGAATATCAATTCCTGACTAAATGCCTAATAAAAAATGAATTAATTTCAGATGGTTAATATCAGAAGGGATACTAGTAACTTGGCAAGAACAAATGCATAGGCTGGATACGTAGAGAAGGCAGAGTTATTCTATGAACAATACTTTGGATCACAAGAAGAAGAGAGACAAAGAAAGAAAATAGGAATAAAACTACAAGAAGAGAAGGAGAAAGAACAGAGAGAATCAGCCAAAGAACAAGAAGAAAGGGCATTAAGAGGAGCAAGAGGAAAAGAGATGAAAGAACAAATGGAGATGAGAGTGACTAGATCAACTAAAATGACAAATAAATAAGACATGAAAGAAGAAATAAAAAAATAATCTCATTAAACATAAATGGACTAAATTCAAGCATAAAAAGAAAGAGGACCTTTAATAAATTAGAGAAATTGAAATTAGATATAATATGCCTGCAAGAAGTACATATCAAAAAACAACACAAAAAACATTTGGATTACCAGAAATTGGGGAAGCTGTATAAGACACTTGCAGATCAAAGCAAAAAAGGTGTGGCATTGTATATTAAATAATCAATACAATCAAAACAAATATTTGAAGATGAAGAAGGAAGAATATTGATAGTGGAAATAATGATGAATAATAAAAAAATATTGATGGTGGTGATATATGCGTCAAATGACAATCAAGAAGAATTATATGGAAACTTCACAAAAAGATAATAGAATATGAATATGAAGAAATATGTATATTAGGGGATTTTAATGCGATAGTAAATAATGAGTTGGATTATAAAACTGAAAAGTTGAATAAGAAGTTAAGGAGAACACTGCTAAAACATTCTTTACAATGATGGAGGAATTAAGTCTACAAATGTATGGAGAAGAAGACACTTGAGAGAAAAACAATATACATTTTACTCAAACAGACACAGGTCATGGTCAAGAGTAGATATGATTTGGGCAACAACAAATCTAATTGCTAAAACACAAAAGATTGATGTAGAAATAAGTGTATGGGCAGACCACAATCCAATAATAATGACATAGAAAGGTCAGAGGAAAAAATGAGATGGACATCAAATCAAGATCTATTAAATGAAAAAGAAATTCAGCAGTATATGGAAAAAGAATTGAACTTTAAAAAAAGAGAATAAGAAGGAGGACACATCCTTACAGAATGTGTGGGATACCAGCAAGGCATATACTAGAGGACTAGTAATGACTTATCTAGGAAAAAGAAACAAACAAAATAGACAAATACAAAAGAAATAGAGGAGGAACACTGAGACTGGAAATAGAACTACAAAGAAACCCACAAAATACTAAAATTAAAAATTTGATGGGCCTAGTAAAACACAAATTGAATTTAATGGAAAACAAAGAAGTGGCAAATAAAGTAAAAGCCACAAGACAAAATTTCTTTGAAAATACAAATAAACCAGGATGATGGTTTTCATACAAAATGAAAAAAGAGAAAGAAAAAAAATCATAAATCAATTAGCAGATCGAGAAAGGAATATTTGTTATCAAAAGGAGGAAAATGAAAAAATAGTAGAAAAATATTACAAGGAATTATACCAGCAAGACACAGCGGTAGAGGAAAAGATAAATAGTATTTAGAGAAGGTGGAAATACCTAAGATTCCAGAAAAATTTAAAAAGGCACTGGAAGAGAGAATAATAATGATAGAAGTAATAGAAGCAATAAAAAGGAGGAATACTACAAAACACTACAAGAAGTACTAAGCAACATCATGCTAGAAGTATTCAATGAGTTGTTATTGAAAGCAAAAATACTGGATTCTTGGTCAGAGGCTTATATAACTATTATCCCAAAAGAAGAAACAGACTTGCAACAAATAAAAAACTATAGACCAATTTCTTTATTAAACATGGATTATAAAATCTTTGCATCGATAATGGCAGAAAGACTTAAAAGACTGTTAAGTGAATTTATACACTCAAATCAAAATGGTTTTTTTTA